ATAAATTTATAATTATTAAAATTTAAAGAAAAATCTTTATATAATTTTACAGTTAATTTTCTACAAATTGAAGCAATTGAGTTTATTAACATAATGGCGATAGAATGCGCAAGTAAATATTATTGGCATTGCGTTAATGATGTTTTTATTTTTTGCAGTTTACCGTCAAAATATTTAAAATTCTAGGTTTGTATTCCGTTTGACGGTCACTGAAATTTTTTAAAATACAGAGATATAAAGCCACACGATAACTTTTTTTTCTCAATATTTATATAATATTACTTCTATTAGTTCATCGTGCCTTTTGTTGTTATTTTTTCATCGTGATTCAGTTGAGTTCCATAATAAACTTTGATCACTATACATTTCAATTAAATAAATTGTTCGTTCGTCATTCCAATTCATGAGATAATGGTTAATTAAAATGCATGAAACTAAAAACCAAATAAATGTACTTAGCAAAACAAAACTAATTAAAATTAATATTTTGAAGTTTTAATTAGTTTCTGAAGTTAGTTATACAGTTACCTGCGTGATAAAATCAATCATAACTTAGAGTTGAGCAACGTGCTTCGATACGTCCATACTACTGTTGTCAATTCTATTGTCTTTGATCCATACCTACCTACATTATTCGGGTTGCGTTCGACTCGACCGGACATAATAATAATAATAATAACATAATAACATGACATTTTCGATGATCACCATTCGGCATAGTGTAGACGCGACTTAATAATAACAATTTTTTGGATCAAGGACATTTTAATGTTTTTAAATATTATATTATTATACTTATAATGGTTATATAGGGAAATGTGTTTTGACGGCCGACGTTACCATTTTCTAAATATAAGACCATAGTCGTAATGCATTTCTCAAAACACGTGATACGCTCGAAAAAGTTCAAAATTTGCCAACAAAACATTTGATGCTGGCAATAGTAGCCGTGGTAGAACACTATTCCATTTAACATTTTGACAAGGTTAATGGTTTGTATCAATGAAAGTAAACAAACCATTTGAATTCTTACTAGACTATGGTAATGTGTCGTGTAGAAATAATGTACTGAAAATAAACTACTAATGAAACAAACAAATTACATTTGATCTTAAGAATGCCGTATGACTCTTAATTATGAATCGGAGTAATCGATAACAATGCTGTAAAAACAATACATTCTAATTCCAAGGTGAGTTACACCTGAATTTTTACTAAATATTCATACTATTATCTTTTAATAACGGAGCTCTATTATAGTAGTTCTATACCTACTACATTTTATATTATGATTATAGTAATACCATATAGAATAATTATAAAATGTTATTTATATAAATGTATAAAACGCCATATCGCTTCTCCGGTGGAACAACGACATAGGTGCAAATTTTTGACTTTTAGACATAAGTACGACAACAGTACAATGAAATTTCATTTTAATGAATGGAACAATGACATAAGTATAATACCTATTATTGACCGCTAGAAAACAGTTTCGTCATTGTTGAAAATACCGGTTTTTAATCGCATGTCCAATGGAACAATTACGTTTTCTGAAGAACAATTACATTTTCACTTACGCCGTTGTTCCACCGGAGAAGCGATATGTCCGTCAATATTTTTACCATATATGAGGAACATGTATTATGTCACAAAAAAAGTTATGATCGAACTAAAAATGTTTCAAAGAGGTTTAATAATAAATTTAAAAATGTTATAAGAATTAGACACCCAAACATCTTTATTTTTATTGAGTCCTTACAGATGTGCAATGGATCTGCAGTTACTGCATTGAAAAAAAAAAAATTAATTTTAAATTTGCTAGTAACAAATCATTATGAGGATAAAATAAAACAACATTTTAATGAATTTAAATGTAATAATGATAATGAAATTTTATATTTTTAAAAAATAAGTGTTCTAATAATAATAATATTGTAAATGTATTTGTATTGTTAGTAATTTAAATTTTAAATTAAAAACCAAGATATTCAAAATAACGCGGGACCAAAAGTTCTATGCATAAATAATATATAATTCCCGGGAACCAAATATTCAATCTTAATAATTATTATTAAGTCAATTATTGACGTCCGTGGACTGGTTTTTTTTACGTGGACGTAACAAACCGACGAGGGTGAAACGTCCTTTACCGTAACTGATCACACTTATTTGTATTTATTTATTTTTTTGTTATAACAATTCTTATAATTGACAAAGTTCAAACATGAACTATTTTAAGTCATGATAAAATTATCAATAAAAAACCAAATAACACAATAAATTGTATCAATTTGGTATCCACTGTTTCTTGTACAAAGAAATTAATTATTTTGTATTCAATTCATTGTTAATCTAATAATAAATACTTTCATCAGCTAAATATTTTAGGCTTTCACACTTCAATTCTTATTAATTCAATATGTCTTTCAAATTGCGAAAAATTATTATTTAAAATTTTAAATGTATTTTATTAAATTCTTAAAATTTGAATGGTTGTTTTTGTTAGCGACATATAATGTGATACATTATGTTTTAAATAAAATTGTAGCCCTCAGGCTTCAATAGTGACACTCGATGCTCAGTATAACTTAATATAATATTATATAATATTTATGAACCGTTTTTGTGTATAATAACAATTGAATCTAAATAATAATTTAACATATTAAAATATTTTTTTCGATATATTGACCGCGCTCTAGTGGTGAATTTGATTGTTTGTATATTGATGCAATGCCAGTTGAGGTCTTCGTGTGTTTTCACTATTTAAAATACTATACTTTGAGATGGTACCAATTGGATGACCGATCATAAGCATATGCGTACAAACATGAATACATGAATACGTTTGTATTGGAGACAGTTAGAACAACAAGGGCATCTAATCTCTATCGGTTCAATAAGTTGATGTTTGTGCCGTTAGATGGCATTAAATCAACATCGGAAAATATTCACAGAGCAGAACTAGATAATCGTGCGATTGACAATGCTTTAAATGATCTGCGTTCAGTTTGATATCTACCAATTTGCGTTTAAACGCAAATAAAATGAAGGAATGTCCAATGTCTAGTCTATCACGAAAACAATGACTTCAGAAACGGAAGTTTTTGTAATCATAGTGTATAGGTTCTGCGGACCATATTCAGCATATAACAGCCCTGAAAACTACAAACAAGCATACTTACCTGGCGTGGAGGTCAACCGTGATCAAATAGGCGGTTCCTCCAGGGTGAGGCCTGCTCATTGCACATAGAGTGGGTTGACCCCTGCGAGTATCCCTAATGTGGATACCTCGGACGCATAATTTTTGGTAGCTGGGACTGCGTACGCGCCGTCCCTCATAATTTAATAAGATCAGTATGAACTCCGTATTGTTGAAAAATCTAGCGTCATGCATTATTTACCTCTTTCGGCACTTAATTGAATGTTTTTAAGACACCTTAATTATAATAAATTATATTAATATATATTATTTTAATTACGAACGTACCCAGTTTTTATATCAATTTTTGTTTATTTTAAGTGTACTCTGAATTGGTGGAAATATAATATTTCATTAAAGATTGGAACGTAGTATTCATTTGTGCTGGCTGGAGCTTTTTTTATCGTCTCATGATGATGTCCTTAGTGGATATTTAATTAAATGAAATAGTTTTTGTCCAATATACCGCATGGTATTTAATTTATCATATGAAGATTTTTTAACTTTTTTTTTTTCTTTTAACTAAGAACATTTTTTTTTATTATAATTGCAACTCTTCTGTTAACCAGGAAAATAATAATTTTATACAGTCAATAGACTTTTATGAAGTATTAAATTTTTTTTTGTAGATAAATTTTGATTTGGGATAAAAAGGTAAAATAACTTTTACTAAATAATAAAATATTAATTAAAAGTTATTAAATAATTAATGCTTAACAATTAACATATAAATAAATAAACAACTACTATATACAAAGAAATAAATAAATAATAAACAAAAAAATTATAAACGGTTTTTTTAAATTTTGATTACGAACTTTAACTTAATTTTTTTTTATTGAATTTGATTTGTCATCTATATTTAAGATCTCAGAAGTAACTAGTTACTGAACTGAAATTATTTACACAAGTGATATTGCAGTTTACCATGTTGTACGTCGTGTTTACACTGATTTTAAACATATAAGTAAATTTGGAAACATATTACATTATTAAACATTCGATTTAGAGATTTAATTTTTTTTTTTTTTCATTGGCTATTATTTTATTTACCGTGCTCTAATTATCTTGCAAATTTTATGAATTATGTAAGTTAAATATGTTAAATTTATCAGATTTTGATTGTTAGTCAGTTTCCTTCACCATTTGTGGTGCAGCATCAGTTACATGTAAGGATATTATTTTACACTAGATTCCAGATTGCCATAATAATTGAATTGTATCATTAAATAATTTACCAACAGTATTACATAGAAAATATTCAGACTGTGTTAAATATATTAATAACCGACAATTTATATTTTATTCTATATTTTGTATAAATACCTACATATTTTTATTGTGTTTATCTTTCTCTATCAAATTTTTTTATAGCATATTTACCATAGTATACAGATTGTATTTATAAAAATAATTTACGTTTGACCGAAAAACATAGTTAAATTATTACTTACTTAAATAACAATAATAAAGTTATAATGTATAATAAAAATAGAATAATTTGTATTAGAATAGTTATTTAAAATTACGAACAATGCTCACTGCTCACTAAAACTCTGTTTGGACATATTAGAAAAAAGAAAATTTGCAATATAAGTTTTCCAATAATTTCCATTATATTCACACAGAATACACATTTTGGGGAGACAGATTTTAAAACTTATTAAAATCACTTTGTATAAACACAGCTATTAAATAAACTGAGAAGTTATAAGTTTCAATACAATAAATTTGGTAGATGATTATAAATAAATTAGGTGAAGTAATAGTACCTTATTCTAATGTTTAAATATATTTTGTATTGATCATAAATTACATTTTCCAAATATTTTTTGATTCTCTATATTTTTAATAACTATAAGTCTAGTTGGATGTACAATCAGAAAAATATACATAATTATTTATTATATATTTATTATTTATACATAAGGATATAATAATAAATTTTAAAATAGGAGAAGTACTTTTTAATGGTAAATTTTTACTTATATTCAAGGCCGTAACTGGGTGGTGGGGTGTCCAGGGGTCCAGACCCCCCCAAAATTTTCAAAAGTAGAAACATTTTAGCGGTGAATATAGTTTATTAACTATAAATTGTATTAAATAATAATGTTGGACCCCCTCCCCCTAAAATTTGTTTCCAGTTATGGCCTTACTTATATTGAATACATTATATTGCTTAGAATTATATAAAATTGCATAATGTTAATACTAAAAAAGTAAGACTGTACAAATGTATAATGTATTTATTTAAGAATAATAGATATTTTAATTTTTATTATTAGTTTATGAAATTTTTAGAGAATAAAAACCTTAATTATTAATTATTTAAGGATTTTTTAATTTAGTAATCTCAATGATGGTAACATTGATGTAAATGGTCTTTGCGACTGATCAACTGCATTATCTAATACCATGCCTTCAATATTCAAACTATTTAATTCATTTGCACTAAAACATAATGATTATTAATTGAAAATAATTGTTATCATTAATAAAACAAATACATACGTAGACAATTCTAATATAGAATCATTTTGTTCTTTAGAAATATCAAATATTACAGTAGAATATTGATTTAGGTTTGAAGCAGTATTAAAACATTCTAAAATGCCATTGTATACAAGTAAATCATCGACCAAAATCTAAATAAAATTTTAGATATTAGCTTTAAGAAAATAATTAATAACATTTTGTCTTACTGCAAACTCTTTTACTCCTCTTAAAGGAGTTTTTGCATAATTCCAGATTTTGAATAAGGATACAGAAGTAGGTTCATCAAAAACAATATAAATTTTGGTTACCTGGACAAGGATTATAAATAAATTAATCTTAAAAATACTTTAGTTAAATATAAATAATATACCTCGGAAGGTAGAATTGGAGCCAACCACATATGAGAACCATCCATAGTATCGTTGATTCCATCAATAAGTTTTTCAGGTGTACGTATATCATTCTTATTACTTTGTAATATATTTACACTGCTTGGCCAACAACTTATATCTATAATATCAAATAATATATTATTTACAATTTAATTTACAATGTAATTTATTTGTTTTACTTCTAGGTTCCAAATGTATGATTTGTCCCAACTTATCAAATAACTGGATACCATTTAAACCTATATAATATTGATCACCCCAAGTTGATAATAAAGCTATTTGGTAAACAAATCCAGTTGGAACTGTTATATGTTCATAATCAGGATTATTGATTCCTATTAAGTAATAATTCATTAATTCATATATTTTAAGTTACAACAAATTAGTTTAATAAATTATATTATTTATTATTATTAATTTATATTAATAGATTTTCCTTAATTTTGGTTTTTGTTATTGGATACTAATAATCATTAATTGTGTGAAGTTTTTATATACTATTATGTAATTTTTTTCAGTAAAAATATTGGTAACACCTTCATTCTAAAGAGGGTAAAATAGGCAAATTCTTAAAACAGTTCATATACGAAAAAAAAAAAATAAAAAAAATTTTAGTTAGAATTATTTCTATGAATATCAATAAATTTAATTTCAAACAATAATACTAAAATAATAGAATTGTATTAAATTAATTAATTAGGTAATAAATTAAAATTGTTAAGACAAGAAACTTTATTTTTATGAATAGTGAGTAGCCAGTACACAATACAAATTATTCTTTTAATTAAATATAAATTGTTAGGACTTACAATTTAAATAACAAAATTACTTATTAATTATTATTAATATAATTATAATAGAAATATTTATTATATTAAGTATAACTAAATATAGTTCAACGTACTTAAATGTTGTTTAGGATTAATAGTTACAATTTCATTAAATTGAGTAGGACAATTTTTTGGAAGTAAAGGAATTTTTTGACCAAAATTGTATCGGCAATGTCCAGGACCACGCCTTATATGTACTGTACCTCTTTCAACCAATTCTCGATCATCAATTTTAAGTTTTATAAATTTCACCTGCATAATAAAATATTATTTTTTTCATAAAATGAAATAACATATAAGTACATACGCCACAATCTAAATTTTCTATTGATCCATTGTAATTCCATATAACCAATGCTGACAAATGGACTGGTGCTAAAAAGTTGAGCGTCAAAGTTAATGGTTCATCTGGTAACTCACAAGTCCACATATCTTCATCTTTATCAGTAATACTACATTCTAATAGTCTATAAAATTTTAAAGTATTCAGTTGAGTTCTATATATATAGATAGGTATATGATGATTCGGTTGTATATGAACTAATTACATCTTACAAATATATTATGATATATGTTTACGTATACTTTTTAATGCTAAAAAATTGCAATACATTATAATTATTTATATAACTATAAATAATACATAAATCTAACAATAAATAAAAAAATTATTAAAATTAATTTATTACACCTTTCTTTACTGATAAATAAAAAATATATACATATATATGTTGTATGTATATGTGTTTTATATAACATTATTAATATTATTGATTATATTTTATTAATGGTAATAATGTAAACTTATATAAATTATAAAAAGTTTATAGAATATTTATCTATATCATAAACTGAATGTCCCCATGAGGTAAATTTGTCAAATTATATTAAATGGTTAATTATATTAAATTATATTACATTATACATATATATTATATTAAATAACTTATCTATTTTAATATAAATATTTAGCAAATAATATTATTTATTACTATCCATAAATATAAATTAAACAAGAAAAGAAGTAATGGTTTTATAATTATGAGTTAAGTATAATATAAAGATTACTCATATTACCATTAAAAAATTAGTCATAAATATAATTATCTTACTTGTTTACATTAGATGTGGTTGTGTTGCATTTAATATTATCTATTTTAACTACATCACCAGTTTCTCCAAATACTTCTAATCCTTGTAATCCAACAACATTAAAAGTATTCATCGATCCTGAATTATCTAATGAATTCCAAGTAGAAATAACAGTAATAGTCAATGATTGTTGACATAATACTGATCCAGTTGTTTGATATTTTGTTTTTGTATGGGATTCAGAAGAATCAGAAGATATATTTGTGATAATTGGTTGTGCACATGTTAATGGCCTAATAATCTAAAATATGTTTAATAATCAATTTATATTATTAAATATACTAAATTATTTTTATACTCCAGTATCAGCAGTGAGTGGACGTTCTTGTGGTTCAATTGAAATTGAGTTAACTGTATTGTTAGCTTCTAATAATATTGAAAATGATGTATCATTTTGTGCAATATTTTCTAATATATCATCATCTAGTGTATATAATATTGTCTGAATAAATCATATAATAAACAATTAATTATTATTACAGGTATTTTCAATTTTTTTTAAAATGATAATTACTTACATCACCAAAAGCATCTGTACACCCTACAATACCACCAGATGCTCTAACTATTTCACCTTGAAATATTAACTCTGAGTTTAGAAACATGTTTACGTTTTTGGCACCTCTATAAGAATGGATTCTTGATTTGTTATAGTTCTATTGGCATACAAATATTTTTAAATTATAACTTAAAATTGTTTCCATATTATTTTATAACATACCCAGATTCTTATCATAGCTATCGTATGTACATCATCAAATTCCAAAAAAATATAATGATGAGCACCTGGAGTAAATGGAGCAAGCCATAAATGCATATCATCTCTTGTTCTATTAATTCCATCAATTAAATTTTTAACAATTCGAGGATCTGTTGTATATTCTGGTAATACATTTATATCTGATGGATCAGCCCAAATCTAAACAAATAAAAACCTTAGTTAATCATTTTTACATGTTTACTATTTTTATTTATATATATATATATATATATACTTTGGTAATATTGATTAATTGACCTTCATTGTTAAAAATTTCTATACCATTAAGACCAACGTAATGTTGATCACCCCAAGTGCTAGTTATATCCAATTTTAAAATAGATCCAGATGGAAGTTCAGGTATTATAAATGGTGTATGTGATTGAGATTCATTTTTTGGAATTTGAGTATTTAATTCAGATTCAACAGATAAACTCATTGGTGTTATACGATCTAAAAGTGTACAGTAATTCATAAAATGTAATGGTATTTTTTAAATTTTTTTTTTAATTGTTGTATTATATAATACATATATTATAGATAAAATATAAATGTATTTTAAACAATGTTAAATATTTTAATTTACCTTGTCGTTTATTAGTAAGCCTTCCTTTTTGCTTTCGATTGAATATGTTTAATGATGTCCATGACTGTTCGAGAAAATCTTCAGTAACTTGATTATTTAATTTTTGATTTGTAATTTTATCAGGAACATAATTAAGTGTTTGATTGGATATATTTTTAACATTAGAAATAGCTCGACGGCCATAACGGGCAGAATTTTCCCTATGTTGTTTTTGTACATCTATACCTTCATCAAGTAAATCAAATAAATCATTTGCTTTATTAGGTATTGTTGGAGATATATCCATAGGGACTGAAGTTTCAATTGGTCTAAAACGTGCACTTTTTGTATTAGATACTCTTCGATTTCTTCGGGAACGCATAGAACTATTTCGAGAACTACCAATTCTCCTAAAAGTCATAATTTTTTTAAAATATTTTTAATTTGGAGTATAAAATGATTCTTAATTTATGTAAAATATTATTTTTAGCAATGAAATGTATTAGTAAATATTATAGTAGCTTACTCCGATAGATCTTCTAACCATAATGGAAACACTTCTTTCGACATGAAGTTATAATTTTCATGAACAGGACTAAAAAAAATACAATAAATTTTACTTATAGTATCTTATTTATAAATATAAAATTTAACCATTGGTTATTTTATTATTTAATTATTAATTATAATAATATTAATAATTTAAGGAATTATTTTGTTATTATGGTATTTATTTTCAATTATAGTAAGTTCTTATCTATTATTTATACATAAAATATAATAAGTTTTAGTTGTTTTGAAAATTGTTGTCATAGCAACTATGATTAATTAGATACTTTGAACTTTACAGATAACTTTTTGGATAAGTTTTATCTTATCAACAATTTTTAAGAATGTATAGGACCAAATAAAAAAATCACAAAAGTAGTACAGGTTAATAATTACAAATGTTCAAACGTTTAATAAAAGTTTAAACTAGTTTAAAAAATGTTTATAAGGAATAGATTTTTATTATCAAAATTCAATATTAAAAACTTAAAATTTAAAAATTATTCAACAAAACCAACTCAAGAACATGCTCAAGAATTAGTGAATGTGGAACAACTTAAAAATGATGATGAAGGTATTACAATTATTGGTCTAAATAGACCTTGGTCAAAAAATGCAATTAATAAGCACATGATTGATCAATTGTTAAACATTTTTAGACAACTGTACTGTGATGATAGTAGTCGAGTAGTTATTTTTCGAAGCCTTGTAAAAGGTATATTTTGTGCTGGAGCAGATTTAAAAGAACGTTTAACATTACCATCTTCTGAAGTTGGAAAACGTGTAGCTGATATACGTAATTTAGCTAATGTTATTGAAAATGTACCTGTTCCTGTAATTGCTGCTGTTGATGGCACTGCATTAGGTGGAGGTTTTGAATTGGCTTTAAGTTGTGATTTTATTGTTAGTGCTTCAAATTCCATCTTTGGGTTAGTAGAAACTAAACTTGGTATAATACCAGGAGCTGGCGGCACTCAACGATTAGCTCGTGCAATTGGTGGTCCACTAACCAAAGAATTGATTTATACTGGAAGATTATTTAAAGCACAGCAGGCTTTAGAATATGGAGCTGTAAACAGAGTAATTGAACAAAATGATGAATGTACAAGTGCATACAATACTGCTCTAGAAATAGCAAGAGAAATTTTACCAAATGGACCATTAGCAGTAAAATTGGCTAAAAAAGCAATCAGTCATGGGCAACAAGTAGATATAAACAATGGCTGTGCCATAGAAGAATGTTGTTATAATCAAGTGATACCAACAAAAGACAGAATGGAAGGACTATTAGCATTTGTAGAAAAACGAAAACCAAAATATAAAGGATCTTAAAATGTTCATATTGTCAGGGTTTTTATTACTTGTAATTTGTAAATTTGCTACATTTTCGTAAAATAATGTTGTATAATAATTTAAATATTGGTTAAACACATTATATATAACCTGAAACGGTAATATTTACAACTGTTATTTTATCAAAGAATAAAATTGATGCAAATATTACCAGTGTATTAAATATCTTATTTATTTATAAGGATAGCAAATATTGTTCAAAAGATGGATATACTGAATGTAGCAGAGGTATTCAATTTTTCAGATTTTACAAATTTTCTGTCTTCACACTAAAAATAACAATAAAAATAATGGTAATATTCAAGTACATTTATTTATTTATCAAATTTAATTTGTTTTTAAAATAAACAATAAACTACCAGACTATGGAGTGTACAATATCAGTATTAAAATTTCGGATTTCTAAAGTTTTGAATAATCTGTGCTCTACTAAGATTTCTATGGTAAAAATTGTTTTGTTTAATGTTGAACAGAAATGCAGTTGGTATTTTTGCTAACAAGTACAATTGCATATAATTTAAAACTCAATTTCAAATTTAATCAAATTTCATGTTATCAATATAAACTATCAAGATTGTAACCAACCCCGGTTAACAAACTGAGCCGGGGAGTATACGAAGTAAAAATTATGGTAACTACTACTACTATGTTGTGGTTATACCATAGAGGAATATTACTTTATGGGTTATACCAGGGTCTTCTTCAATTTTCCAAGAGTGGTAGACCAATGAAATAATTAAGAAATTTAAAGAAGAACGGCACTGATACATTTCATGGAACACAGAAAAATAATATTATATATTTTTGTCCGAGGTAGGAAATAATAAATAAATATTTAATATCTAAATGACCGATTAACTTGTTAGGTGTTCACCCTTGCCGGCATAATTTGCAAGCTCTGGAAAACATTTTAATGTACAACATAACCAACAATATCATTTTGGAAACAAAATAATCAAATTACAAGAATTAAAAAATAAATTCCAGAACTGTCGTAAAGTGTACATTTTTGAGAAAAAACCAAATTCTTTTGAATTGTTAAAACTATTAAAACTATTAGAGCTGCTTTAGACGAACTTGTTTATTATGAAAATTAAATAACTAAGTAAATAAGTAGACGCGCATTCAATGTTGGTTACACTGTATACCCATTTTGTGTACTGTTTTCGTATTTCGTTGATTTTGTCTGCACTCTCCATTCTATTGTGCGTATTTGGACGAATGATTGGTTAAACATCAAATGTGTTTCTCCTGACTGAAAATCCATGTTCACCATTGTGTATTCAATGTCTGCTGTTTTCGAGTGAGTGTGTTGAGTTTTCTTTGTCAAACATACATAATTCGGTCCATTTATTTCGGCTGATTCATGAAGTAGAAAAGGTGAGTACTTTAGTAGTCTGGATAGTTGATATTTTATTATTGCAGTCGCTTGTGTTTACTCGATGACAAAATTTATCAATATCCACTCAAGGTCATGCGCAGTAGTTTAAATGCCGGAATTTTTCTTCTGTTTATCCAACTAAATTATTTCATGTCACAGGAATTCTTAGTCGTTTAACACCGTTCGATATGTTTCAGGCTAAATGAACCTCTCAAATTCCGATTTGAACGAACGCTTGTATTTTATCAACTTTAACCAAGACAGCACGTAAGTTATAATATAACTATGTCGATGTACACTTATAATGAATATATAAATTGTGCGCTTTTTATTCCTGCCCTTCAATTATATGTTATTTATTTTTATCAAATTATATACTCCATCTATATCCTCAATTTATATTAAACATGTCTTATTTTAGATCTACTATATATTTGGTATGGAAAGATTAAATTATTTGTTGTGAGATTATTAGTTCAATCCTTTTGTTGTAACTTGTTATTCTTTGGTATTAAATCTATATTGATAATAAATTTAAACAAATTATATTTAGAATTATTAGTATCTAGATTACTATAAACTGTCATGGTTTATTTTTGCAGAATACATTTCCAGACTGAATTATACTTTTGAAAATTAAAAACATTTTTTAAAATCCATATTTTAATGAGTTTAGTATGATATTGTGGTCAGAAATTATTTCTTGGATTAGGTTTTAAAATTCTTGCCTGTTCTGGCCAGACAATGATGTAGAATAATGTAGCAAGTATTAATGGCGTGGTATTGTGGAATACCATAATTATTGTTATAAAATTATTTATCTTTACTTTCATTAGATTGATAAAACAGCTAAAGTTATACAATTTTTATTGATTGATTGCATTGTTAATTATTTTTAGTTATAAAGTTATTTAATAGTTAGTGTACTATAGAGTTAAGAAAATTTTAAGAGATGAAAAATGATTGAGTTTCATTATTACTCGTACTTTTCTAAAAGAAAATATATTAAATGGCAGCAGTATGCGTTTCGTATAAATATCTATTTATTATGATAAATTTAAAACCTAACAAATAGTTTTATTTGAGTCACAAATTCTGATTGATTCATTGTTTTAAGCTCTGTACAACAAAGTATTTATACAAAAATTATTCTTAAGAGCTTAATAAAATAAACTGATAATTTTTTTTACTGCACTATAAGGTATTATTTTTGGGTCTTAATTATTTAAATAGTGATATATATATAGAAATAATTCTTAAGTTTTCTAATGTTTAAGAGTTAGGCATAGCTTTTTATTGAACTTTAAACCTAATTAAGTTTGTTAAATGTGATATAATGATTATATTTGAAAAATAATAGGTATAAACTTTAACTTAATTATTTTAATTTATATTAATAATAAATTATTTGTTCTTAATTTTTAATATTTAAATATCAATTATATGCAAATATATACAGTCTCTAATTCTTATTAATAAATTATTTGTTACATTTATTATGGTGATTTAATACTAAATACATATTTATTTAATTTTCCATTGTCTACTTAATCTTACCTATTTAAACTATATGATTTTTAAAATTGATATGTTTTATTTGGTTATGAATAATTGTTTTTAATACTTTTTAAAAATGGACCATTATTGAATATCTTTAATAAGTGTAATTCTTAATTTATGGTTAGTTGTACTAATTATATTTTATCTAATAAATTTAACAATCAATTTTATTTATAAAAAAGTTATTAATTCATTAGTCTTTGCTTTAATTAATTTTATAATTATGCAAGATCATAAATTAATTAATATTCATTGTTTTTCTTAGTTTATAATACAAAGCTATTAAAATGTAAAACAATTATTAATCATTATAACCTATTTATGTTTTATTTTAAATACCGAAAACATTCAACCTAAGTTGATAATCCTTGATAAATAAATATTTTTAAAATGGTAAGTTTTAAAAAAGTGCAAATTTCATAGTTTTTTTTTATGTTAAATAACCTTATGTTGCCTTTTATAACAACATATACATTTATGAATAGTAAATTCTAAAGTTGTATGAAAATTATATTTGATAAATCTAATCCAAGTTAAACATTCTTTCTATATATCTGATGATTTTATTTGATAATTTGTAATACTATGCTACACCATCCAAAAACAAATAATTTATGTTATATAATTATTTAAATATAGTTTAGGTTTGCTTAAAAATAAATTACATGTCACGTAACCATGGTAACAAATAACATAACTATGGTACTTATTAATTAATTTTAATTACAATTAATTTAATACTAATTCTACATAAATTATATTCTTTTTTGATTTTATATAGGGTTATTCGTTTTTTATTCAATCAATTTTTTTTTTTTTTAATTATGTCATTATTTAATATAGTGTTAAGTTGTCAAATTAGTTTCTTCTTGAATTTATAATGTGTAATTATGACATTAACGATGATCTTTAATAAATACATTTCAATTAATGTTTTAGAATGAGTAGTGAAATTAGTTTAAATATTTTTCACTTGAGTTTAATCTAGAGGTGTTAATTGTGAAAATTGAATTTTCATATAAAAATATATATATATATTTAACTTTAATGAACGTGTTTTTGTGGTTTTATGTTCTTTCAAATATGATATGATTTTGGATATGTATTTTTTTTGTGCTAAGTTTTTGGTCGTAATCAAATCTACGTAAAAATATATTTCACTTCATCGTTATTACTGAGAATATTGCAGGTAAACAAAAGTTTAAATACATATATATATTTAATAGAATTTTATCTTATATCTAACCAATAATTAGTAAAACCTTAGAATTTGATTTATTCAATTTTAGAATTTAGTATTTTATCAGGCAAAGCTGATCAACAACAATATAAAATGCTTAATATAGCCTCAAAACTCTTGGTTTAAACTGAAGTGAAAAATGTCATAACGTATATTTAGTTAATTACATTATGTAAAATTTATTTTATCATAGAAACTGCCTTCAAATTGGTTTTTACATTTATATTATTGTACAGGTAAAGTAAACAACTTTTTTTTTAATAAAAAGCTGTTACCATGGTTTTGTGTCAGTGTATTAAAATTTAGCAGCTTATTTGTTGTGGTTAATACATTATTTTCTCAATCACCAAATATTTATTATTTTTATATCGTGTTGATCAACTTTCAGCCTTATTATTAATTACATAGGCTTGCTTGTTTATGTAACTAATAAATAATATTAAATTTACTTAACTTAATACTTAGATGTTTAATTTTTATACTTGTTTAAACCTTACATTTAAATAAAAAATAATTGAACTCAAATTAATTTTCAGTTAAAAATGGAAGTTGAACTGGATCAAGAATTGCTGTATACAGCCCTTCAATACCATGGGCCAAAATTACAAGAAGCATTAGAAAGTCATGTAGGTGATTCTGAAGTATTCACAGGACTTTCTAGTTTGAGTTTCCCTGCTTATGCAAATGGACATAATGCAGCTAATGATTTGGACGATGAAAAACAATTGAAAATTCATAAATTTATTGTAAATCATTCCAAGACATTTTTTAATGTTGATTTATTAGCTAACAATAAGCTTAAACAATGTGAAGACTTTGAAACAAACTCATTTACTGTCATGCCACCATATGAAGTATTTGGATATACCAACAAAGAAATGAAATTAAAACATTTCTTAAATGAACTATCAGAGGGTGAAATTATAATTACTTCAATATCTTCTAAAACTGTATCAGGATTAATTTTAAAAGTATTATGCACATATACTGAACCTATTAGATGTGTTTCTGATATTGTTGTGCGTGGTTTTTGTCTAGCATCTATTCCTGGTTTGAGTATTGGGGACAATTTATGTTGTGAAGTTTTAGAAGTTGTTCCTGAAGCTTGTAAATTAATTTGTGGAGTAAAAGGACTTAAATGTCATAAGAAGTATAAGGATCTACTTGGTTTATTTAATATGGATAATTGCCCTCAGACATTTAAATTGTTTCATGCCGGTAAAAATGATGATTCATATGATTTTATGTTACAAAATTCTACAGGATTTAAAAATCCATCTAATATTTGTAACTTGGAGTTAATTACAGGTTTATCTGAAGATAGATATTCCATTTTACCTGCTTTATCTGGAAGTTTTCCCGAAAAAGAAAATGCATTGGAGCTGAGAAAAGTTCAGTCAGCACAATGGGCTATACAAAGTGTTTCTGATGGAATAAAATATTTTAAAGCTGGACAACATTCAGAAGCATTTTTATGTCTTAATAAAGCATTAACAATAGATTCGCTAAATGTAGAAGCTTATGTGGCGAGAGGTGCTTTATATGCCAATCTAAGCCGTTTTCAAAAAGCAATTGAAGATCTGAAGTCTGCCTTAAAAATAAATCCTAAACATGCCAATGGTCGTAAGTATCTAGCCGAAACTTTAATGGGTTATGCTAGAACCTTAGAATCACAAAATAAATTGGAAGAAGCATTACAATATTATGAAGAATGCTTACATATTATACCTGATCATGATGAAGCTAAAGCATCTATTGAATATCTAAAATCTACTCTTTTAGTTGGCAAAACTATATCTTCTATTTCATTTGATAGTTTAAATAAGAAAAAAATTGATACTGATGTAGATTTAGAAAAATCTGCAAGCAGTAGTAGTAGTTCAAATAATAGCAATAGTAGTTCGAGTGATAGTTCAAGTATGGGAAGTTCTTCTGAAGATGATAGTAATAGTTCTTCTGATAGTGATTCTGATCATTCTTCTTCTTCTGATAGTTCGAGCGATGGATCATCTGGTAATGATTCCCAGAAAATTGAAAAAGAAAGGTCATTGTCACCATTTAGTAAACGCTTAGCTGTTATGGATAGGAATAGTACAAATGGAGGTGGATTACCTTGCAATCCTTCATTTATTTCTCCAGAAAATTCTCAATCTCAACAGTCAAATGTAGAAAAAGAAAATGATATTGAAGCTAGAATTCAAAAGTTATTAATTTTGAGTCAAACAAGCAAAGGAAAAAAAAGTAAACAAATCGGAATTAATCTTCAAAAATTGTTACAAGATGCATATGCCTTGAAGAACGAAGAAAAAAAAACAGAAAAGAAAATTAAAAAATCTAAAGAAAAAAAGAAATCTCATAAACACAAGAAAAAAGATTCTAAAAATAAACAAAAAGGTGCTAAAGATCAAGAACATCATCATAAAAAAAATAAATCTAAAAAGCACAAATTTAGTGATATACCATTTGAAAATGAACAGCAAATGGCTCAAAAGTCCAGTCTTCCTGATCCAGAGAGTGTTAAATCAAATTTATCCAACTTAAAAGAAAACATTTTCTTTAAAAAGTATGTTAAACAAGATAAACCTACTGATCAAAATGTTAATGATAAGGAAAATGAACAATCAGATATGTTTAAAGCTACTGAAACTATAGAAATGCCAAATACTTATAAATATGTAGAAGACCCTTCTTTAATTCCTACACCAAAGTTTAAAATGCAATTACCAACTACGACTACAACTTTTGTTAAACCTAAAAAGAAAGAGCCTGTTGAAAGTGCATCATATAATTGGGACAATAATCGGTTGCCACCTAATCATGATTTAATGAGGACACAAACTTCAAATAATATTGAACCCAATATTGGAGATCATTCATTTCCTACTGCTTATGACACAACAAACAGCAAAGGATATTTTAATATTTCTGGATCTACTCATCCGGTACCTGAAAATAACTTGAATAACATGGAATTTCAACAAAAACCATCTTATTCAAGTCCAAACAATAAGGAAAGATCTCGAAGTCGTTCCGCATCTAAAAAACGAATAGCATATTTAAGAAGCAGAAGCTCTGGGGGTCGTTCAAGCCAATCACCATTTAAAAAGAAACCTAAAGAAACGTCCAAGTCGAAATCTAGGAGTCGTTCAGGTTCATATCCTCGTCATAGACGTTATTCATCTTCACGCTCCAATCGGTCTCGTTCGTCTTCACGTTCATATTCTCGATCACGTTCCCGTTCACGTTCCATGTATCATCGTAATAATCGCATGCCATATTATAATAACCGTAATCGTGGTACATACTATAAGCCACGATTCCAAAATCAAAATCATCATAATCGTGGTTTTCAAAATCGTGGCTTTCAACATCGTGGAGGATATATGCACCGCCAAAATTATAATAATTATAACAATAATTGGAATAATAGAGGTCAAAGAGGTGGTGGAAGACAGCGTTTCTTCCATTACAAACCTAGGCAATTTGATCGAAATAGACACTATGAAAGGCGCAGTTATTCAGCTTCACCAAATCGTCGGAGCCGTAGCCGTAGTAAGAGCCGTAGTGGATCAAGAAATTCTTCAAAGGATTATCATAGAAAACGTTATTCTGGTAGTGGTGAAGATCTACAACATATTACTAACAATAAGCCAAAAACTCCACCAGAGCCAGCTGTTGAAACTAATAAATGGGCAATTGATAATACTGATAACAATGGTAATAGAAATTCACACGATCATGATGAAGGCTCCATTGAATAAAAGCTGACAATTTAATTAATTATTTTCATCTTATTTGATTTTATTCAAACATTCACTTAAAATGTATTTTTATTGTTTAAATTATAAATTTTTTTGTTTGGATTTCATTTTAAATAAGCACCTTGGAAAAAACTATTAAAACTAAAGAATGTTTCTTTGTATTTGAATACTACAATATTAGATTTATAATTTTGCATTAATATATTAGTCACTGGGCTTTTATAACTAGTACACCATTTATATTTATATATTTATATAAATATAATTATGTATAAACATTTATTAAAGCCTTTTAGTTTTTATTAATACATCAGTGTTAAAAGATATTAACTAATAAAAAGACTGTATTTCTATAATTCAATAAAATTGTAGCGTTTAGCTAAAATGTTTTTTCTTATTCTCATAGAAATTATGCTATCCTTTATACTTGATTTACTTATTATTAATATAAAAATAATGTAACTTTCTACCTACAACAATTACCTCTTAAGAAATGAATCAATATAGTTAACAACTTATTCAAGATAACTATAATTCCAGTACAACATTAATTTGTATTATTAGTAAGTAATTTGTTAAATGTTTGTCAACTTAAAAATTACATTTTATTTTTAGTCTATTAGTAATTAAATTTTTGGGATATTCTTTATAATTATTAATTTATATCCATTTTAGATATTTAAGTAACCAGTCATGATATTTTTGTTTGAAATTTAAGTTAACATTTTACCATTTGTGTTTTTTTTTTTTTTAATTATTAGCATTAAGTAAAAAAAATATAGTTATACTTTATAAATAAAGAATATCAATATTATATTTTACATCAGCAAAACAAAAGTATAATTTTTTTACTTTTGAAAGTTACACAACTTGTTTGCCCAAAAATATTAAATATTTATTACTTAGCCATTATTAGTGTTAAGAACTTACTGTGAGGAAAAGTATTTTGGTCCATAATTTAGTCGTATATATATATAAAAAAATTTTACTATTACGGGAATGAACCTTATCTCTTTTTTATTTTTATAATATGAATTTAATCTTAACATAAAATGGCTATTCTTCTAAATCTTGAGTTCATATTTCTAGAATTAAAAATTTTTTAAACTTTGGATAATTTAACACGTAATACATTTGGATGTTGATCTTATTATAAAGCATAATGTTGATTTAATTATAACTCCTAATATATTTATTTTTGAAATATATTATTTTAATAATATACTGATGTAGGAAAACGGTACCTAAATAAAAAAGTTTATTATCCATATTTTAAAATCCAAGATTATTGATTTGTATTTGATATGAAGTCATATGCATTTCTACATCTGAAAATAAAAATATTAACTATGTTTAAACGCAGTTTGAGATCACTTATATTTTTGTGCAGAAAACTAATTTTAATTTTTTTTAGTTGGTTATTATAACATTAAAATACACTTATATGACCTTTGAACTTTTTTAACTTATGAGAAGCACATCTGCAGTAGAAATTTTTCTTATATGGCAACCACCTATTTGAACCACTAATTTTTTTTTTTTTATAAGTTAAACCAATTTTCTAAGTCTAAAATTAATCAAGTTACATCAATTTAAAAAGAAACTAAAATGTGTGCCATGTTCACTTTTTAACTGTAAATTTGAAAATAATTATTTTTAGGATTGTGTAAGCTTGACATTTTCATCCCTATTTTTATGGTGATATTTACAAATTAACAGTTGTTGAAAGTTAAATTTAATTCGTGTAAATATCACCTTAATCAATAGGGATGAAAGTGACATGCATTTTACAGGTTTTTTTTTTAAATTGCTGTAACTAAACTTTTAAACTGTAATATAAATAATTGTGTTCTTTATAGAGCAGCGGTTTTCAAAAAAAAAAATTTTCGCGTACCACTTGAGTATATTATCAATTAATCACGTACCACTAATGATTAAAAATAGAATCATACAAACTTTACATAATTAAATACATTTATTTTAAAAACAAAGGCAGTAAAATATTACAATAAAATTATTATTTATTTATTAGTACAAATTTATTAGTGTTTTTAAATTAATATATAAGTTAAATATCAAATTTTTAATTTACGTTCTACCATCACGCGGTCTTCCACCTACTACTTTGTAGTCTTTCTTGTACCATAGTTTGAGAACCGCTGCTCTATAGAAGAAGGATTATTTGAAGGAATAATATAAATTGAACGCATTTTTAGTTTAATATAATTAATAATTCTTTCCACCAACATCTAATTTTTAATTACGCCACTGCTATGGAGTATGTCTCAAAGTGTGACATAGTGGCTTAGTGCAAGCAAGGGCGGTTCCAGCATTTATTTACGGTTCGGGCACTTTATTAAAAAAAATTTATAATATAGGTACAGTCGTTGCCAGATAAATTGAGACGGCGGCGGCGACGCTTTTCATTAAGTGTAGCCCAAACTAGTCGCTGGTAGTGTGGTGCAAAGGTCTCACAGTTAGCTACGACGCGCGCAGTCATCAGTTCGAACCCGGCTTAGTGCAAAAAATTGTCTGCAGAATTTTCTGTACTCTCCCGTTCTGGTTGCCCTACACTGCTAAAAACAACTAACCTAACCCGGTGTGTTTTGACCGCGCAAGCACTTCAGTCGTATTAATATTATGTATTATTATTATATTAATTATATTATTTTACAATTCCTACTTTTTGTTCTTAAATAAAAAATTACTATCGGAATATATGATTTTAAATTAATATCGTAAAATATTTTTTGTAACAATAGTCGATTTTGTGTAAATTTATTTTAACACTTGTCTGTGTTTTGAAAGTTACACTTGTATTTTATTTTATTTTTCACTGAGTATGGACCCGACTTAAATCCCAAATCAATATTCACAGCCACGCGTAATTTGATTTTGTTATAAAATTATCCACATTAAAAAAATTTGAAATGTGTATCTCATATAAAATCAATTCCTTAAATACGGATTCAGGGGGATGATCGCTCTTTCGCCCCCTAAAATAAGCCCATAGTGTTACAGGCTTATAGATTATTTTATGTGCTGCGTTTACTCATCGGCGCGTGGTATTTGCGATATTAGAATATATAAATATAATAATCATTTTGGAAGAGAAATAACAGGGGTGGATATTTATAAGATTAATGGCCATTATTTTGTCACGCACAATAGAGGTTCTAGTTACGCCATAGCCTTATACATATACATTTTTACTTCTCACCAAAAAATACTTAAATACATCGCTGGTATGAAATAATGCGTTTACATATTATAAGTGAATACCAATGTAGAAAAACGAAGTCAAATGTGTTTATATTATGAAAAAAATGTGTAATGCATTAATGCAGCTGCAACATATATAAGTTTATCCATTTATAACATCAAGGTGGTCTGGTCAGCGGTCGCAATGCATTCGAAAAAAATTATATTTAATTTTCTTGTAACCAGGTCATATTCGAGGTCAGTGGAGGATTTAGTATTTTTTTACGGTGGGTGCTACTATGTAAATAATAATTCTTAATTTACGATTTTGGGTTAAAAACAAACTAATAATTTGTGGTTCAAATGTTCAGGGAAATCAATTGTGTTATGTGTAAGTGTTTTGTTTATTCTCCAAGAAGGAGATCTCCATTAACCCCTCTTTAAAAATGTCTTTGATATTAAGCAAAAAAATAAATGCTACTTTTTTAACACATACATTTTTATTAACATATAAGATGTACATAATTGAATTTAATAATTATAGACATTTCTAATATTATTTTTTAATACGTCACAGTATTGTAATTTACTCTAATATAATTTAAACAACGAGTCCTCTAATTGCATTATTTTTTCAAGTTAATTACTTAAATACGTAAACTACGTAAATATTTATATTAGGATATGAATATTTAATATTGTTAAACCGTTTAGTCTAGACTTGGTAATTGTAAAGCGCATATCATTTTTCAACCTTCATAATATTAAAAAAGATCTTTTAACGGTTGCAGTAGTAACTGGAAGAGAAGTAAATATTTGTAATAGGATTTTTATGTTTGGGAAAAATTATTTATTTAATATTTAATTCATAAGTACACTATACAGGGTGATATATATGTAATTTATAACACTAAAAAAAATATTCAACACGCGGAACGGTAGATCGTCATTTAGACCCATAGAACCCCCCTCCTAAATCCGCCACTGCTCGAGGTCTAGTTATACGGCAGTCCCGTGCGTACATTTTCAACAGTGTAAGTGAGTCTCCGTTGGTTTGAATGATAACAATTTACAATAACCTCAATGTAAACAAAATTTATGTTACAATATTCCGTTGCACCGTGCCTGGTCCACTATCCTGCCTTGACCCGCGTTGCAGTTTCGCGTTACGCATGCGCTTTGTTGTGTCGAATTTATACGCTTTTCCATCCGACGTAGCGGGACACATTAACTCATGCATTTCGTTCATTTTCGTTGTCGATTCGCCAATGTTAATTGCATGCTGCGATATCGGTTTCACGTGGTATTACTCGCTAGAAACTTGCGGGGAGGTCCGCGGTTTTCGTGTTTCGCCCGATCGCCGTATAAGGTCGTTGCTAAGGACCTAGGACCGAGCATTCGGCGTGTGTACCACAATAATCGTTTCCAACGACGAATTCGCGACGAGTATCCACGCGTCGTACAAGTTTTTCGACGATAAACAAACAAGTGCTCGGTGCCGTTCGGCCTCTCTCCCCTCTCCACACGCAATCTTCGCGCTCGCGAACTTCGGTCGCGGTGGTAGGAAGAACAACGTATTTTATTATTAATTATTTATGAAACGATTGCCGTGTGCTCACACTACCGTAGTTATACGTAATGATGAATGATAACAACCTCTAACCCAGTAACGCGCGCCGCGGTCGTCCGACGTGTGTTGTACACAGGATAGAATAATAATAATCACAATAATAAATAGTAATAGTAGGTAATGAACACGTGCGTATACACGACGCGATATTATTACAACATACAACGGTATTATTGTATGCATGCCAGTTGTGCTTGTGTATGAGTGTGTATGCGTGTGCCGTGTGGAACTGACGTCGCGCCACTAACCATGGTCAGTAAGTGCTCGAAACGGTGCTAAACGATGCAGTTTAACGCGAAGATCGCTACAGTCCGTCGCAGCTGTGGTTTGCATAATAATAAAACGCACTGTGCGTGTTGTGTTTAATTTTTTATTCCCGCTCAGTGTGTACATAATATTTCACTCGCGCCAA